TATGTAAAAACCAGATGTCAAAAACTGTCTACGACCATAGCAATAATTACTGGTGGTTTGACAAAAATCTTACAACCACTAGATTTGTCAGGTAATGTTCTGTAGCGAATTTAATTTAATTAAGTGATTCATAAAAATCAAAATTTTAATTTGTAATTATTCAAAATTTGAGCTACACAAGTTTGGTTATATTCTTTTTGGGCCTATTAATTCTAGTGTAATATATTTTGGCTTTCCGAGTTTACGCGAACTGCGTCTTCAATCTTGTACACGCAAACAATGGATAAGTATTTTTTTCCACGTAATAAACTCAGTTTTTCATGTCAAAAATTAATTTGATTTTCTTAGTATTTAATATCATTAGTTGCAGAAAAATTAGCTCTTTAATTTGGCATAACTTTCGTTTTTCTAACTTTAATTGCATTTCAGTTATGAGCTTTAATTAGTAGATTTTTCTTCGTTTGCTTGTGATTTAGTTAAAGGGGGATGAAATGCCTTCCTTCCGGTTGAAAAGTCATTTTTTGTGAGTTTTCAGCATTCTTTCGTCGGGACCCTTGCAGGGTTGTTGAAATTCCTAATTTCCCCCTGTCACAGGTGGTGTTTATTTAGCGAAAGTTTGGCAACATAGATTTTCCGTTGAGGTTTCAAAGTAATGGATTTGGCGAGTTTGATAACATGAGGGTATGCTGTTGTTGCAACTATTTTAACTTTCGGCGAAGAGTGGGTTATGCCAACTAGGCAGTCCGGCGTCCTCCCTTTTAACGGGGTGTTTTGAGGAACAAGGTCACTTTTTTGCACTTTTGACTTACCATCGGACGCTGTACTCGCTGGCAGCTGAATTTTATTTTGGAAAATGCATTTTTCCGCCTTTGGATCTACGGGCTTCTTGCCCTTGAGTTTTGAACGAGGGGGGGGACTTAGATTTATATGCATCATGACCTCGACTAAATTATAGTTTCTCATCAGTTTTTTTTTTTTTTTGTGTGTTGAATACTTAACGTAAGTTACTCAAAAGATAATTAAAAGAAAAATGCAACGAAGGGTGATGCCTAGTACTGGTGCCGTTAAGAAGAAAATTTTTGTCTCTCCTCCACGAATAGAGTTTTCATCTGCCTCGATGTTTCACGCCTTTAAGAATTATTTTCCGCCCTGCAAGAAACTCCGTCACTGCTAGCTCTGGGGTCGCTACTACATAATGCATCACCTAACTGGAACAATGACTAACTTCAATATTGGATTGCAAATCAACTATCAGAGGAACTGAGAACCTCCTTAGTGCATCCTAAATCAATTAGAAACTTCTGGACTCCATTGAAAATTCCTCTACATATGAACTCTTCTCTTTTTCTACCACGCTCGGCAGCCGTCCTCCTTGGCATCTCGATAATTTTTTTAAATATGAGGGTGTTTTCCTCCTCCTATTCACTTGCAGCCTGTGATTCCTCAGATAAGTCTTTTTATTTGTTTTCTTTTATTTGTTGGTCTGATGTTAAAAAAAAAAAAAAAAAAAAAAAAAAAAAAAAAAATTCTAATAGTAATTCTAATAACTAAAATAGTTAATAGTGATTGAAATAACTTAATTAGTTGAATTAAAATATTGTAGTTGAGTAAATTAACCTAATTCTAATGAAGTCATTTTGTTTGTCCATAAAGTAAATTATTAGATTGGCTAAGGAAATATATCCTTATTTAAATTATTTAATTGAAACAGTGAATGTAACTTAGTTAGATTGGTTAAGGAAATATATTCTTCATTAAATTATTTAATTGAACTTGTGAATTTCTTTCTGGTGAAGATTGATTGGTAAGGGTGTCATTATTTGAGCTTCTTTGCTCCTCTTAGGGACTAAATTGCTTGTAGGATGTAATGGCCTGATTTTAATTAACATATTACCCGGTTAAATCATTCTTTTTGAAAATAGAAAGTTACTATGTGCAATAACGTGAATTACATTGGTATTGATTATTCTGTGTGAAATGTTTTTTTGGAAAGTATAACTTGTTAATTATTCTTTTTTTTTCCTCCCCAGGGAGGGTATTGTTAATTTATCCAAAGTTTTATCTGATCATGTTTACCTGAATGTAATAGAAATAATAGTTTGATATTATTGAGTCTAAGATAAAAGTAATATTACTCTGTAGGGGTATGCATTTGTAGAAAGCAATATTTTACAGTTCAGCTTGAATATAATTTGCTTACTAAGTTAATTCTGCATTGTGTAATCATCAATATATTACAGTTCTGATTGAATATAAATTGCCTACAAATTAATGGATTAAGTAATTCTTGAAGAATTTAATAAATAGGCTCACTTTTCTAGATCAGTCAATGTTTATTTATTTCTTTTTTTGTGTGTGTGTGCTCATGATTTTCACCCGTCTCATTCTCAAATTGATTTCAGGGTTAATCCGAAAACACAACGCAAAAATGTACAGGGCTTATTGATATTAGTATATTACTGTTGTTAGAAAATTTTAAGTGTTTTGTCAACAGAGTAGGAAACCTTTTAGGTACCAGACCTTTAAGAAACCATAACATTTTTGGTGCCGTGACTCTAGCACATAACAGTAATAAATCCTTCAAGGCTAAAGTGTGAAAGCAGTGGGAGTGTTGGATGAGTGAAGGATTGCATGGGTATATACCAAAAGCGGCATAGAGCATCTTATGAAGAAGTTGCAAAGTGGGTAGGAAGTGCGTGGAAATGGGTAGAAACATCATCAATAATAGCAGGGTTCAAAGAAGATGAAATTATATTCTCAGATAAAGAGACTGTAAACCAAGAGAATGAATATGACGATCTAGAAAACTTAGATCAGGATTTACTAAATCTTTTTAATTCAGATAGTGAAGAATGAGATTTTGATGGGTTCCTTTGTTGTACAGCTTGCTGTAATTCCTTTGTAAGTAAAATTTAAAATTTTGTTTTGTCATCCAAATTTAATATCTTGTTGTTACAACATTTTTTATAATATAGTATGAGTATGACAAATATGGACTTCTTTAGTGAGTAAATATACGTATATTCGTGAACGTAAATATATTTTCAACATTTCTCATCTCTAATCTATTTCTGAGTTATAGTTTCATGTCATGCATTTTTCTTAACTGATATGTCATATAGGACATAGGTCAAGATTTTGAATATATACAGTCCACGATGATGTCACTTGCGATTTAATCTATTGTGGAGTTTATGCATAATTTTAATTTTTTCCCCGCCATTTTTCTTGAGTGCACCATTTACGCTGATGCGGCCTTTCTTCCAGAAATTATGATAATATTTAAATCTGTTACATACTTCACCTGGATCAAGCCATTAAAGAAATATATAAAATTGTTTGCATGCATAATAAACACGGAGAAAAAATAAAACAACATTTAGGTCCATAGTGAACAAATGTATAAAAAAGTGCTAAAATTGTGTAAAACAAAAAATTAAATAAACAGAATTTACGTCTTTTGTCACATCATAACCAGGGAGTTGGTGTAAAGAAAGAAGTAAATAGATCAGTTTATTTCTCAGCTGACAATGACACATATTTATAAATTATAATTAAAAGCTTCAACTATTTTATTACAAAACAATTTGGGTCCTTATCAGTCTGATCCTGACAGGCTGGATTGGGAAGAGCAAATGCTCGATTTTCCAAGTGTCCCAAAAAATCAAATAATGATAAAAAGTTGTAAAAAAAAATTTTTAATGGAAAAATACCCAAATAATTGGGGTTTTGGGGGGTGGGACGGGAATTCATTTTCCAAGATATCTACTGCAACTGTTAAAAAATTCTGCCACCTTCTTTGCAAAACAGAGAAAGCTGATACTCCAGAAAATATTAGTAATGCTCTGATTTAAATGTTTGGTGTAAGAAATTATAAAAGAGAATATTATAATAAGGAAATCATATGCCCTTCAATATCATTAGAAGATTTCCTCCCTTTTTTTTTTTGGCATGGAAGGATAATGGGTACCGCAATTTTCTGATTGGTCTTTTCTGTTCAGCAAAAACTGTTATTATTATGTTCTGTAAATTATGAATGAATATGTTCTGTAAATGAACATTTTATTACATAGTTAGCACATAATCATTATTTTATGTCTGGCTTTCATGCATACTTCAAGTTAGAAGTTCTGTGGCCTTAACAAAATAGGTACACATACTAAAGGTCATATACAAGATTTTCCAGAAGTCCTTTCCATATTTAAATTCAGTGTATGCAAAACTGAAATCATAAGCTAGGATATCGAAAATTTAGCAGTGTGCATCAGGAAAAGTCCTGTACATAAAAAAGCATTAGGAAATGGCATTTCTGAAGAATTCATAATTGCCACAGATTTACTATGAAATGGACAGACGAAAACAAGTGAAGAATGTTGAATCAGTAATGGAGAGCACTGCAATGGTGCACAGTCATCAGCTTGCAGGGCTTTGAATGAATGTGATTCTGGACGATCCTAAAGAATATTGATTGCAGTACATGCAACTCAACTTTCATGCATATGCAGGTTCAGTATACTACTCTAAGCTGCAGATACTCGATAGGCTCTTCATTTTCTCTTACTTAACCATTAAATCTTCCCTTTTCTTCTGCTATCCACTTCATGGTGAGTCTGAAACACTTCTTGTCTCCAGAACTTGATGCTACAGAAACTCTGATTTATATTTTTACCAAAATATCTGTTAAAAAATTATGAGTTTAAATATGGGAAGGACGTTTGTAAAATTGAGTACTTGCTTTGATATTAAAACGTTCTGGATAGCTACTTCTCATTATTCTCCCATTCAAATTAAACAAAAATTACCTTTTTTTTAGAGAGAAGTAAAAAAATAAAAGAAATATTTTCAATATAAAGAATGAAGAAATGTCAGACACTATTGTATAATACAAAAAGCTGATAAAATACTGAACATTTCCAAATATGAATAATATACATATATATAAATGATATTTTAAAAATGCTGAACAAGATTCCACAAACATGCCAAACAGTTAAACTTACATGCCCACAATGGTGTCCACATGATTTATTCTGGGTCTAAGTAGAACAATATTATTCATATTAATCACAAAATAAGATTCAGAAATTTGAATTGAAAGCATTGGAAACAAAAATTAAATTATTTATAAGCATATTGAAATATTAACAATTTACTTTCAGAAATTAAAGTTATTAATGCATTTATCTACCAATACTTGTGATACTCTGGTTCAGTACAAGTTTTGTATATGGTACACACCCTACCATATTATCCACCGGTAGATAACGCGTATCTATAATTTCAAACTACATTTTTCAGTTTTTAAGTATATTCACTGTATAACGCGCACCCTTTCGCCAAATATGTCATGCCAGTCTAGAAATAATGTGTGAATGGGTAATAAAAACATGGAATGAAATAAAAACGGACATAATTCAAAAGCCTTTTAAAAATACCTAACAATCTAGAGCGAACGGAAGATAATCATTTATTTATGGATCGAAACAGTGAGATGGTGAACATGATTTAGAACTTGATGATATGCCCGATGATATAATGGAAGACAAATATGACGAACTTTTAATGTTATCCAATTATAAAAACATTTAAGTTCATAAGATATGCCATTTCTTTTAAATAAACAGCATTTAGGTTACATGTAGAAATCTAATTTTTATATGCTCATCTTTTCCATATTTTTAAATCTATAATTTTTGTATCACATATAACGCACACCTGTAAATTTCGACCTCATTTTTTTAAATTAAAAGTGCTAATTATACACCAGAATATACAGTATTAATCCTATAAACATATATATCATATTCAATCAATAAAAATATCATAGCACTCAGATAAGAAATCCAAAAAACACAAACTGTATGAAATGATACATACAATCCAAAGCAGTTTGTTGCAGCATTATTACGCACAGTGGTTATTGGTGCAGACTGGTATATAATCGGTCCCAGGTTTGAATCCCAGGGATGATATGAGGGAATTTTAAACACTATCAAGCCAGCCAAGAACAAGATAAGAACAATGACTGAATGAGGTGTGATGTGATGATGCAGGCCTCTCCAGAACTTGTGGTAGGGTAAAAGGGATAGGAGGCCTTTGGTTTCCTCTATCAAGAATGGTTTGGTTTAATTGGTTTATTTAATTACGACAAAGCACACATGGGCTATCTGCCTAAGGGAAGGGATGCCTTTGTGGAGGACTTTCTAAGGGAAACTGGCTCGTATACACGTTACACATGGGGAAAAACACGAAAAACACCCATGAGCCCCCGTCGTGGGATTCGAACCTCGGGACTACGAACTAACCAGCGACTTTACCGCACCGCAGGTGAGCCTCCCTGGTGAGCTCCTCTATCAAGAATGAATAATATACATAAACGTACCATTACTTATCAAGTGCCTACAACCTTGGCCACTGACAGATGACAGATGCAAATGTTTCCCTCTTCACCATAATGACTTCATACATCAAATCTAGACTAAATTCATACCAAGAGATAGTCACAATAACAGCAGTTTGCTGTTTTTCTTTTAATTACGTGGTAAAAATGTTTAACGATTCACTTAATTAAATAGGAATCTTCTAAAGGCAGAAGCTACTTTAATACTTCTTTTTCGAGTTTTATGTGAAATATTCAAAATATTTGAATCTCATCTCCAGAATAAATACTGTAATTTTAAATCATAGGTGTATTGAAATTAATATTTCTTATCACATAATGCTGTTTCTCTGTTTTTCTGTGTCACATAAAGCGATATGATTTACCTTATGAGAGAGGATATTTAATATTAAAATTTCCTTCTTGAATTTCACTTAATTCCTCCTTTTATTAATAAACAAGTTACATAATTCATTCAATAAATGCAATAAATTAAAAATATTTAAACTTTCTAAAAACCTGATGTCACAATTTCTGATCCTTTATTCATCTAATTTAATTATCAGCCATTTATTTACCTGTTAGTTATTCACAATCTCATTACCAAATTCACGGTTCACTGGATTACCCGTTAAAAAACACTATCAGTGTATCTTTATCCTATAGTCCCTAAAAAACTACCCTGTATTAAAAAAAGCAGACTTTAATAAGCTCGAACACATTGTACAGCCTCAAAAAATGAGTGTCATGTAAAAATTAGTAAAAGGTTTAATATGATTTAGAAATACAGTTTAATATGATTTTGAAATAATAATGATTTTTTGGTAAATACAGTTTCTAATCCTTTATCCATCAAATTCAAAATTAATTTACATATATAATGATTTAATTAATAGTAAATTTATACTTCATATCCTGTTTAGGGTTTCTTGTGGCACTCAGATTATTTCCTCAGTCTGGAAGGAGGGTTCTATACTTTTATTTTTCTGGGGGGGGGACATGACCTCGTTTGGGAACACAGGCATCTAATTCATGTATTCTTTCATTAATTTTATTAATGTACTGTAAACTAGGAAATGTTTTCTCAAGTAAGCACTTAATAATTATAGAATTCCTTTAAATTTAATTACTTTTGGTTTCAGTTGTTTTTTCAACATTTTTTTAAAATTAGATATGCTGGTAAATACTTTTAAGATAAACAAAAAACATTCTTTTATCAAAATAAATTATTCCAAAAACTACCTCCACTCTTATTGCTGTCATTTATCTTGCTTATCTGACATATCTGACAGTAACATCAGATCAAGATTATGAATTTTTTCGTAGTAAGGAGTGTTGGTTGCATTCGTTGTTGGAATAGGCCTTGGGCACCTGATAGGTGACAGAAAACATTTCCACAACTCTGCTTGAATTTTAAAAAGAATCCCTTAGGGAACAGATCAAAATGTGTCTTACCTGTCGAAAGAGCACTTGTTTGAATCCTAGAGAAGGCATGGATCTGTGAGCACATAGTATCAGTTCAGCAAGGGGACACTCAAAATAAATGGCAAGCCAAATCCTCTTGAGGGGAAAAAAGGTGGGAAACACATGGACTATGCCGAGGGTGCTCTCTGGGAATTCCAAACTGGGGTAGAAGTTTAACAGTTAGTTAGGTACAGCAATACCTCAATCATCTATGATAATACTGAGATGCTGGCCTAGTTTCTACCTGTGCCCACCCTTATAAGTACAGTAATTAGTGATGCTAGCTGCTGTATCATTGAGCCTGTGTTCAAAATCCCAGACAAGGCATAAGTTTATAGCATCTGTGTGGCATAGGGGTATTTAAAATACTAGCAAGCCAAAAAGTCCTCTCAAGTGGTCTGATAATAGGAGAGGAGGGGTGGGAGAGCATCGGAGTCATCTTCCAGAATGTTCTTCATCAATAGGGGCAGAGCTAAATAGTTAGTGAGGTGAAACTATACCTGTATGACCTACAGTGAAATTCTGGTACCTTGCCCACATGCCTGTTTCCCACTTCCATTAACTTCTCAAGAGGTCATTATCTCAAGAATATTTTAAGTGTCCAAGTGTTGCAAAGACATACAAATAAGAATTGCAAAAATCTTTTGCCTTTTCTGGAATTCAAATTATGGCAGCTGGTTAACCTATCACCATGCCATCTGGATACAACCCACTAAGCCTCGTTCACAAGAGCAGATTCGACCGGTAACGAAACCCGGTTCTTTTAACGTCTTTAACTGCCTCGCCAAATTGGAGGTAGAACTTAGTTGAATGTTCCTTACCTCTCAGGAGCAGGGCAAATGGGGAGATTTCCCATACTATACTGTGCGATTCACTTAATTTTAGTTACTGCTCACCGGACTCTCAGTGAAACAATCGCACTGATAGATGTCTGGGGATTTGATAGCATCCCCCCCCCAAAAAAAATTAGATAGAACTGTACAAGATACGAAAATTATAGACAAATACAGACAAGGCTATCTGATGCTAGGTATTCCAGAAATATCGTTCAAATTAAAACTAAAGTTAAGACAAGTGCATATCCGCTTCAACGCGACAAGGGACTCGGTACCTTTTGAATGATTTTTTTTAAAAAAAAATTAAGCATTTTCATCTACTTTTTATGAATATTATTAAATGGTTTTGTGAGACAAAATAGTCTTAAGCTGAAAAAATGTTTTTGCTAGTAATTTTTTTTTAATTAAAATTTTTGAAGAAAAATTTTACAATTAAAATGTTTTTCTTCTCCTACAATTTTCAATATCTCCCCCCCCCAGTTTTTATTGTATTTATTAGAGTGTTCTTAATGACTTCAAGGAATGATTTTGCAATTAATGAATAGTTTCTGAGAAAAAATTAAAATACACTTTTATCTAAAATCTTTGAAACAAATATGATCTCAGTTACATTTTCATTTCAAATAATTTTTCTTTTCAGTATTTTGCAAAACCCATCCTTGTTTCTATAAAGCATACAATTTTAAATAAGCAGTAAAAATAATAAATAATTTAGTCCATACCTATATATGTTTTAAGACTTTTAAGTAAAAGGATTTATCGGAAAAATTGCAAAAGGTTTCTCAGTTTGCATTTGCAGTTTAAAGAATACAAACTGTCTAAATAGACATTTAATCATTTCAAATCTTTAAAATTTTATTATTGAATTTCAATACACACACACATATATATAAGTCAAACCTAGTGCTATTTATTCAATTGGTAAATATAAGCATTAATTACAAACCTTTTTTTAAAACCTTATGTGGCCAGAAAAATTGCAAAACTTCATAAAACGCAAGCAGAATTTTTCTTTACCTGTTTTTGTTTTGCAAAACACGTTCAAAACAATTTTAATACATTAATTAATTATAATATTGTTGCATGTGTACGGGTTTTAATAGATTGATAATAGTTTGTAAATGATTGTTATTGCACTCAAATCCAATGACAGCTTAATTAAATTTATTTTATCAACAGAAACACTTCAAAATTCTGGAATTTTCCACAGAAATACTCGTACAAGTGTTTAGAATATCACCAAGTATAATCAGTACTTATGCTTCAATCTAATAAGAACATTAAACACAACGGAATGCAAAAAGCATCTTAAGAGAAAGTTAATTCAGAAATATCTCCAATCTTGCGCTGAACGAACAACTGGCAACAATAACAACTTATATAGTATACATAATGTCATAAAAATAGTGTGGTATAATGAGATCATTACTTTGAAACCGATGTTTCAAATTGATGCCCAAGAAGAACCAACATTTCCCATTCTGCTTCATTGCATATCTTTTAAAAAAGTAAAAAAAAAAAAAAAAATCCAATTAATTTCCTTTATCATGCTTTATAAATGCGAAAAGTTTGTTTTATAAGCTGTGAAAATGTCGGAAATTTGTAACCCATATATTTTTAGATATGAAATTTTCAAATTAATGGGCGTCAAAAAGTCTAAAAATATGAACGATTTTCAAAAATTCTCCCAAAATATTTTTTAAAAAATTATGCTCAAAATTTCATTAAATTTTTTTCCCTCCACAGTGTGTTATGGTGCAAACTATAATATTCTGAGACTCTAGTTTATTTGTTAATTAATATTTGCAAAAAGTCATGTTAACTTTAAATTTGAAAAAAAATCTAATTCTCTAAATATCAAAAGCATGATATCACATCCACAAGCAGTGTATGTACAAAGTTTGAGTTCTATATCTTATAGGGAAGCAGTTTAAAAATCCATGACCATCTTTTAACCATAGTGACAAGCACCAAGAGTGAACAGCTTATAAAATAATAATAATAATTATAATTATAAAGCATATATTTTTCAGGAACCATTACGAAAGTTCAGGTACTAGTTGCAAAAGTACAGATTACAAAATTAAGAACAGTAAACAACGTTAAAAATGTGTAAACAGTATTAGAAATCAACCAATTCGAAGACGTGATTATTTACAGAGGGTTAGGTGTAAAGGGGAAGGAAGACGGTGGTCTGAACGGGTCCTAAAGACGAAACTCTTTCATGTCTCCTTTTTCTCCCCTTGCTAACGGCAGCTGTGCGAAGGAGTGTTGCATGTGAACGGGGCTTAAGAGTAAATAAAATGAAGTTTTATTTAAAAAAAAAAAAAAAAAAATCCAAAATCTTAGCAATAAAATTCATTAGATTCTTCCCCTACCTCAACAAATAAATAAATAAATAATAAATAAAATAACAAATTCTTATGTTATTTTTTTTTTCCAAAGTCTCAGACATTTATATTTTGTATGATGCACATATTCACAACACACTTTAAAAAATTTCAGAAGTTACTTTAAATACTATAAAAAGTTCATACTAAACATAATATGAATATTTTTTGCCAAAAATAATCTCACCTCGTAGAAACCCGTATAATAACCAGCCATGTACCATGCTATTAAAACAGGTGCTGTAGCTGCATCTGGATTGGTCGGCATGGGTGGAGTTGGAGGCTGATTTAAAACAGTATTCTGAAATAAAAATGATTTAATTATAAAACATTTAAATTCATTATTTTTAAAAGAACAAACTTACTTTTAAATGTTCATATTTGTCCATTTAAACCACATTAATAATTACTAATTTCTTGAATTCATCCCACATGCTTTTTAAGTCCACTACATTAACTACAATAACAATTACTGGGGTTAACTAATGCGAATCAGTAACTGATAGCATCAAATGGAAGGTTTGAAATAATTTCAGAAGAATTTGTTTTCATGTTTCCTGTAATTATGGTTATTTAACAACTGCTAACTGGTCATGTATGCTTGGTATCCAACCATTACTTCATTTCATTCCAAAGATATTCAATGAGAGTGAGCTTGGGGCCTCAGGCCAGCCAGTTACATTTTTCTTCAAGTTATATCAAGTACCATAATTTTGCTTTGTGAGATATACTAAGATAACAATGAGCCTACTCTAAATTGCTGCCATAATTTGGGAACATCATCCTTAAAGAAACTGTCTCAATAGATTTCAGACTTTACTATGTAGAGATTTAAAGTAAAATACTTAATCCAAATCAAGAACAAGTCACAAACCATTAATGTGAATTTCATTCTTGGCATTGTTGCACATTTCCTTTTGAGGCATTAATAGATATTCACCTGACCAATTGCGGCAAAATAAAAAAAAAAAAAAATTTACCAAATTTCAATTCTGCTTCACCTAAATTCTAAAAATTTCACCACTCTTAAATTTTGTTGCTTTTTTTCTTCCCTAAATTTAAAAAACTTTGCCACTTTTAAATTCCATCTGGCACTAGCCTCTATGAGACATATCCTTCAGAATACTAGGTCGCACACCAGCCTTATTTTGCCAGTATTTGCGTATTTCAAAATGTTATTATTGGAAAATATGAAGAATGACAGTTAAGCAGCAGGAAAGTGGCCATAGAATGCAACTGCTTTCAAGATGCAAAAACACAATGGACACTTTCTAGTGCTGGTCACCTACTGGATGGTGACAGTATTTTTGAAATGAAAACATTTGCAGTAATAAAGCTCTTAGATGATTTTATTCAACTATACATTTCAGATATTTCTCCTACCAATTTGCTATTTTCATTTAAACAATAGATTATTATTGGAAAACAAGAACAATGATAGTTAAGCAGCAGGAAAGTGGCCATAGAATGCAACTGCTTTCAAAATGCAAAAACACAATGGACACTGTCTAGGGCTGGTCTCCTACTGGAGGGTGACAGTATTTTTGAAATGAAAACATTTGCAGTAATAAAGCTCTTTTGCTTAAGATGATTTTATTCAACTATACATTTCAGATATTTCTCCTACCAATTTGATATTTTCATTTAAACAATAGATTATTATTGGAAAATATGAACAATGATAGTTCAGCAGCAGGAAAGTGGCCATAGAATGCAACTGCTTCAAGATGCAAAAACACAATGGACACTTTCTAGTGCTGGTCACCTACTGGAGGGTGACAATATTTTTTAAATGAAAACATTTGCAGTAATAAAGCTCTTTTGCTTAAGATGATTTTATTCAACTATACATTTCAGATATTTCTCCTACCAATTTGCTATTTTCATTTAAACAAAAGATTATTGGTTAGAATCTATACTTCTCTTGAATTATAATAGGAGGATAGTTGATCAAATGACAATTTGTACAAAAATTATTAATTGAATTTATATTTCTTAACATCATGTTTTATGGGAATTAACTTAACCACTTCTAATCATTTAATTTAAACACAAAACACTTAAATATTCTTCATATATTCGTATCTTTAGCTTTGTACCATTTTATTTACATAAAAGGGCTCAGGTGCAATGTATCTAGTGACTGAGGATATATAGTATAAATTTAATTTGAAAGTCTACAAAAACAAATTCAAATTTTTCAGTGAAAAAATATTTTATTTCTAGTAAAGTAGATGTCACTTAATGTGACTTCAGTTACTGTTATCGAACTGGCGAAGTCCCACATGCTCACAAATAAAAACATATAACATGTCTTCATAATGGACTTTATGGAGAAAGCTGGCCCATATTCACAACACATGGAAAACCATGCAAAATCCACCACATATCCAGTCCATTGATGAAGTAATTTCAAACCAGGTAGAACTACCAGTATTCGGTGGTGTTAACCACTCAGCCATTGGCAGGATTTAACTACAAAGGCATTGTTTGTCATCAATATGCTACACCTGATCAGTAAGTAACCAAGGAATATTATAGCTGCCAACCTCGAAATCTGAAAATCAGATTTTCTTGTGTGAAGATCAGAAGGATCTTCATGGATTCAATAAATTTAATTTATTACGGGGAGAAATCAGAAGGTTTTTCATACTGCACAATACCACCATTTCAAAAGGATTTCAAAATAATGAAATTAAAATGCATGATTCAGGTTAAAGAACTGTTAATAACATGATTGTGATTGTAAAACATATTAATATTTAATTAGATATTCTAAATTTTATTTTCTTAAACTAGTTTCAATTTATTAATATTCTTAAACTTTTACATCGAGAAAACCCTGAGTATGAAGGAAAGCTTTTATTTATAAAAGCACTTTTAAAATGATGAAAATAAAATTAATCATCAATGTACTTAGTATGTGCATGGATATACTTTATAATGTACCATAAACAGAAGTAAAATAAAAATAAGAATAAATATTAATTGATTAAACATTGAATAATTCTTCATATAAAGTTCTACAAATGTCTAAATTGGATTGAGACAACTAAGATCAAATGAGATTTTAGCAAGAAAAATTTAACAAGGTCATAAAATGTGATAAAAATTAGTAGAATTAAAATAAAATAGGAAAATTTATTCTAAAATTACTAGTGGTAGGGGAATGCAATTTGTACACTTTAAGTTTCATGGATTCAATAAATTTAATTTATTACGGGGAAACATTTTGTAGCAGCTGGTGGCTGAGGAATGCTAATCATTGGAAAATGCCAGAATTGCATATATCCAGCAAGTGGCAATGCCACCAACAAAATGCCTACCTATTCATCTTCCCTGCTGCAGCACTTTTGAGCTAAACACAAAATTGCATACATCCAGCAAGTCAATTATTTACTGATTTTGACCCCTATATATGACTTGACACAAAAATCAAACTCCATTGGATAGGAATGAGACTTTTCAAGATGTTCTGTAAATCCAAGAGGCAAATGAAAGAAAATGAAAACAATAGTTCTGGTATGGTTCCAGCAACAAAAACAATGTTGGGTAAAGTATTTGGCTTCAGAAGGTGACTATTCCAAAGGAAATTAAATGCAAACCTTAAATAGGTGCACTGAGTTTTTAACAGCTGAAACCCTAATTCCTCTTTTTTTTTAAAAAATCACATCTCATAATTGTCAACTGTATATAATACTTTTTTTTTCTTTTGAAAAATACAAAAATGCTAAAAATATAAAACCTTCAAATCAGTTATGTAATTATAGCTCCCTTTAATTACGTACAAAATTGTTAGTAAAAACACTAACTTCAAATGCATACATTATGATACACAAACTACACTGGTGTGCAAAAATTAAGGACGAAGTCGAAAAATTAGCATATCAGCTGAACGAAGAGGCAGAGCGGACAGAAAGACCAATCAGGAGATTAAGTAAGGTGATGTACGGTAGCACATGCGTAGATATGCAGGTAGACGTAATGGAGGAGTGTCTGAGTAGTATAAAGCATGTTGTCGGTGTAAGATCAGTATTTCTGGCAAAGAGATTGCATGCCGTATAGCAGTTAAAATCACACCAAGTTGCTGCCTCAGCGAGAAATGGCAAATAATCAATCTGTTAGATGACATCTGGATGCGCAGTGTGACAAGTGTGGCTGGAGAGTTCGGAATTGCTCACAGCATCGTTTGACGACTTTGGAGACAATTTCAAACTACAGGAACAGCTATCCGGGGGTTTAGTAGTGGTCGTCCACGAGGAACCACATCCGCAGATGACCGGTATATTGCCTTACAGGCCAGAAGAAACAGGCGGCAGACAGCGGGAGAAATCGCTAGACACATGACACAGGCGACTGGACGACCGATATCGCATTTTACCGTGGCCAGAAGACTGCACGGTGGTGGTCTGTTTGCACGACGCCCTGTACGGTGTGTACCTCTAACGCCTGCCCATCGGAGAAGGCGTTCTCTGTGGTGCCGGGAACACCGGAATTGGAGACACAATGAATGGGGATGAGTACTCTTTACAGATGAGAGCAGATTCAGTCTGAGTAGCGATTCTCATCACATACTCATCTGGAGAGAGCGGGGAAGACGCAATCATCCCTCGAACATCATTGAAAGAGACAGGTATAGAGGTGGCGGTGTTCTCGTTTGGGGAGGCATCATGCTTGGTAGTCGTACAGACCTTCACATCTTCGACGCAGGTTCAGTCAACGGGACCCGTTATTGTAACGAGATTCTTCTTCCATATGTGCGTCTTTTTAGAGGCGCTATGGGTCCGCAGTTCTTTTTCATGGACAACAATGCACCATGTCATTGCACAGTGCCGAACAGCTCTTAGAGAGTGAGGATATTGAACGTATGGATTGGCCGGCACGATCTCCGGATCTCAATCCCATCGAGCATGTATGGGATTTTCTAGGCAGACGCTTGGCAGCTCATACCTTACCACCAGTAATGATGGAGCTTCTGTTCCAAAGGAGCTTTGATTGGCGCTGCAAGACGAATAGGCAGCAATGCCTCAACAACTCATTGACACTCTCATTCTCAGCATGGGCAGACGCTGTGAAACCTGCCTAGCAGTCAGAGGAGATCATATCCCCTATTAAAGACCAGATGTTTCTTGCTGGACGTCCATCACAGGGATGTTTCGACCTTCAGTCGCATTGCGCTCCATGCTACTTTTTCAATAAAGCTTCTTTTTATCCCTCTGATGTTAAATGTGTTGATTTGGAAAGCTTTTGTACAAAGTTACATTGAAAAAACTGTCTCGTCCTTAATTTTTGCACACCAGTGTATTACAATCATTATGGCAGAATATATAGAAAAAAAAAAAAAAAAAACATTCTGCATTTAAATTTAAAAGTCATCTACAGTGAAGAATGAGATGTTTCAATTCCTTTTCAACTTCATAACTTCATTGGAAGCTTATAAACCCACTTTGCTTAATTGGCATATATCAGTCATTGAGCAAATTCAATGAAAAGTAGAGCAAAAGCTAAAAATTTACGATTTACAATTTTCAAACACTTTGCTGATTGTATAATTACACTGTCTCCTAATTTTAATAACTGACTTCTTGCATAGAATGCACATTTCAAGTGAATTACACATCTCCAGCACCATCATTAAGGAATATCAAAGATGAACTTGTCTGTAATGTCACTTTGTCACTCAAGGATTGTTTCTCATTTGCAGACATTGCTGATGCCAAATTTCTGCAGGATAATGTTTTATAGCTTATCTTTACCTGAACAGCAACCATATTCTATTATAAAAAAATGCCTTTCAGTAAAAGTCTATGAGCAAAACAACTCAATGTAGCATAAAGACGAATTCTTTTCATTCCAAGGTTCTAAAACTTACCATACTTGTAGTTTAAGTAGGAGACTTTATTACCAGCAAACATATCTTAGCTAAATAATTAACTAGAAATGACAGATCTTCTCACAGTAATTGTACCAAAGATGAAGGTTCATTAATTACATAAAAGAAACTCAGGGATATCTGCCTATGGAAAAGGATGTTTCCTTGAAGGACATTTTATGGGGGAAAAAAAAAAAAAAAGGCTCGATTCCACATTACAAACAATGAACCCACAAAACTTCCATGCAGGCAGTCCATTCACTCGGATATGATCCGAGGTCAAACTACCTACGTTCTGCGACTTTTTGGGCCCACAAAAATCAAGAGATAGCTACCAACATTTCATTGAATCTATGCCTTGTTGAGTAACAGAAAGACATATAGCATAATAGTTACGATGGCTTTAGCAATTACAATATAGTTTTCTACATTCTGGCTGGTTGATGTAAAGACAAAAAGAAATTTGGGTTTTGCTTTCTAAGTGGTAGTATTTGATGGAAATTAAAATGTGCAAACTACATTTATTAAAGATGAAGAAATGTAAAGACTAATTGTTTTGTTTATTTCTTGCTTAACAGCAAATAAAACAAACTCAAACAATTTGTATAAAATTTACCTTGCTAGGGTTTCTTTCACAACTAAAAAATTTGCATTCATGCATGATTTAATAAATTTGATATTTAAATTGTCTGAAAAACAATTATTAAAATTTATATACTTTCAAATATTTCATATAATATACCTTTCCTCTAAACCTTAAAATGTTAACATGCAGTTAATGTTGCAGCGATTTCTATACAAAATATACACAACTAAAGCTGAAACCGCTTCACATTCTCTGCATTAGAGAATCACACACTGAACAGTGTTCATAAATATATTGAATATGAATATATGAATATGCATGTTCATCTATATATCTCATGCAAGGTATATTGCTCATTGAAAATCTAAAGTTCACTATAGGAAAAATATACTGGGCACATAAGTTAAATTCCGAAATTCACAGCTTGATCACAGTAATTTAAATTTGCAAACATCTAAAAACTCTCTAAATGGTATGGGTGATGACGATATCAACTACTTAACAACTTTAGTTTCATTTACTTGCCATAATGTGACCAAATATAAGCATATCTTTAATAAACAATTTTGTATTCTAATCACTATTATATCAATTCAAATCAGTCAAAACTGTTACAAGTACTGCATTAATTAATTTAAGCTAATTTTTAATTACAGTGAGAATAAGACATTTTTACTTAAAGTTGGCTGTTTTCTGACAAAAATGTGAAACTGGAGAGAACACTTTACAGGAGATAAATGTAACAGAAGTAAATTCACTATGAAAGGAAATTATAGCAATGATGGAGGATTACTAGTACCAATTTCACAAAAGTTCTGAATCTGAATTGGATCATCTGAACTTTCAGGACTACCAGAATCACTTATAGAAAATTCAGATCCAATATTAGAATTATATTTTGTTATGAGCCATTCACTGTCACCCATCGTCACAAAGCCTAATACACTGAACATGTGCAAACAAACTCGTTGAATTTCTTGGCCTAATGAAAAGTGGTAAAAACCTATCCTAGAACTGATTTTACAATCCAATCTCTCCTGGGACTAGTAGAGACATCTAACAGAAACACTACAAAGTAAAAATATATGAAAAAGCTGGGTAAATCAGTGGACTTTTATAAGAAAATATACTGCCCTAGTGGTATATGGACAAATAAAAAGTCCTCTTTCATGGCACTCGAACAGTGTTTGGGCAAAACAGTTAAGTAGTTAGAGCAAAGATGTTTATGCATAGTTTACTTGTATAGACCTTTCCATTAAATATGCTCCAAAAAATGTCTGAGCTATTGAGATCTGGAAAACATTCATCTAACTGAGACATTTGCAAACACAGAATACCTGCAGAAAGAAAATATTCTTTTTCAAAATTTGCTGTCACAATACTTTAAACATCTCCTCAAAATGCGCACCAACACTTTTTTTTTTTTTTTTTGCTGCCTTTTAAAACAGTAACTCATTTACAAGATTATACAAGCTTTCACAACCCCTATGATTAAAATATCAACATAACCAATTATTAGAAACCTACAATTTTAAGTAAAATTAAAAAAATGACTGTTGCCAATAGCATAAATCATCATATCTATTAAAAAGCCAAATTTTAATACTGCTGTATACTTCATTTTTTAGCTGTTTGAGAAGGATAATACTTGAATAAAATAGCTACAAACAGGAAACAAAAATTCTTAATATAAATCTAACTGCACATAAGAAGCACAAACTGCATCAATCATGAAATGAGAAATATTCCTTGTGACAAGTTATTTCTATACTGCATTGTAATTTTCACTTCAAGTGCCTAAATGTAACATAATACATTTACAAGCAGAATTTCTGTTAAGATTCTTTCTTATTTATTATATTATTCTTAATATTATAATACTTTTGTACATACTGACAACTAAGATTTATTTATTTAAACTTTGTTATTGATTTTAGTTATATTCAATAAATAATTTATGCCTGAAAATTATTTTGTGGTAATTGTAAATTAAGTTAAAAATGAATAACATTTTAAAGAAATTAAGACTGTATATCCCCACTTGGTGCTTGAAAAATAGAATTACTTTTGCTGGCAGCTGGACTTAAAGCATATTCTTATGCAAAAAATTTGGAGAAACTGAAGCAAGACAAACTTCAGTGAGCAATTTCAAAATATTTAAATTGTTCCAAATTACTTTTAAGAGCAAAGAAATAATTATATATTCCTAAAAGCAATGTGTAACTTGACTTTTAGCAACCGAGCTTTTATAAATATTTGATTAATTTTGGCCAGGCATTTGGTGCAAAATCAGTAGTATTTTCTTTCTAGAAGCAATCTGGCAGTATCTGTAACTCAGTACTTGGCTTGTTACATACCCTTTAGGCATAATTTGACTTATCTGTTGTCGCAGATAGGTCTAGGAGCAATTTCAAGCAATGGACTTATTAATTCAAAGATTTTTAAAAAAAATGAAAAATTGTTATAAAAGAATGCTAATAATTTCTGCAAACTGTCTCCACAACCGAATTAATTTAACAACACACAGAGAGATTAAACCCTTTTATTACAAAATTCTGCAATTAAACAACATATTTCACTGTAAAGATGTATACGACACTGAACAAATTTTCAAACAGCATAAAAAAGCATAATGTTAAATTTTGATTTCAAATGGTATCAACATTTATTCTTCAATGATGACAGCATCCTTGACTTACATGTCCACATCGTTGCACACACTGAGACTGCTTTTGGCCCTGTTAAAAGAGAGAGTAAATTATTTATTACCTACAAAATTTAATGAAAAAAGTAAAACACAATGTACAAATTTATGCAACTTAAAAATTAAAACAACTAACTGATGCAGTAATCATTAAAATCCTTAACAGGTTTCAGTAGAAAAAAACAACTTTTAACTCCACATTGCTTTAAAAAAAAAAAAAAAAAAAAAAAAGATTAAACAGTTCTTTATAAAAAAATTTGCTCTTCTTGCAGTACATCAGAAACTGAAAATCTGCTTTGATTACAGTTTGAAAACTTTGTAGATTTCTCTAAAATACCATTCTGTAAAGGCTTCATAATATTTCTGTATGGTTTTTCAAAGCAGTATTTCTATAGAATTGCGATGTGTGAAAACTTCGTACAATTTATGTAGAATGCATACATTGTTAAATTTATTATTGTAATTAATCACATAAAAAAGAATCTGAGAGCTTTCAGATTTTACATTATGCCCAAAGGTTTTTTTTTTTTTTTTTTAAACATTTAGTGTGGTTCCCTTTATTTATTAAATATCATGGTCTTCGCACTTAAACCATAAAATTCAATTCAAGAGCAATATCGTGAAATAATTTTAAAATGAGTATATCTTTGGAATTTCCAATACAGTCTCGCACGCTGGAGATAAAAATGCTTTTTTCCTTCCCGTAAAGTGTTGCCAATGTTCGCTTTGAAATCTTTGAGTTTGTTAATCAAAAATTCATTAGTGTTTCAAAATATGAAATTGATAATATAATTCCAAAGTTGGGCTTCCAAATTCCCAAATTCAGTGGAGGATTACATTATTCAAAATTTGATGGCTCTAGGTACCATTATTTTATCACAATGCGAGAAACATACATGCAGATTCTTCATTAATTTCTTTAAATATAACATAGGGCAATCATATTTGGTGGCAACAATTTGAAAAGTGAACCAACATTTCAAGTTTTCAATGCAAAATGCCAACACAAAATTAATAGCACTTCTGTGCTAATGTCCTTTGGGCTAAAAACCACCTAATATTAATTCCCCCCCCCCACTGAATTGGAATTGTAACATTTCTATTCTTGATATACATTTTTTATGTAGACAACTAACTTGGCACACAAAGCACACCTTGCTCTTAACAAAGCTTCCTTCTTTAAGACACTGTGGTACTTAAGGTTTGATTTGGTTCATCTGATTATGGCAAAGCATACGAAGACCACCTGCCTAAGGGAAGGTATACCTTGGTGGAGGATTTTTTATGGGAAACTATACTCCCAGTTACACATGAAAGAAACCAAAAAAAACGACCCATACAGCCATGCCATTTTCCTGAAATTCAATCCAAATTCAATGGAGGATTATGTTTTAGCCACTGGATGGCTGCGGTTAGTAAGCAAAACAGCAGTCTAGCTAGGAAAGAAGCAGAGAATGAATGCAACATCTCCAAAATGAAAGTTTGGTGTAGAAATAATCTAGTCTTAGTTCAGATTTGTCCCCATTGGCTAATTTTAAATTTGACTCCCAAATCTGAGTTATTGTTGGCTGAATCACAGTCAGTATTTGTCATGAACGTTATACAAGAATCATATGACATGATTTTGAAATAAGGCAGCTTAGAGCAATTTATTAAATGCAGTTCCCATTTTTAGAATAGAAAGGGGAAATACAATCCAAATTAAAATGGAAAGCTAAGGAATTATAGTAAATGAAAATCAGAACTTTGATCGACATATTCTTATCTTAATGATCTACACAGGGGTAGTCTGAGCAAATGGGCAAAACTTTAGGGTGATAGAAGGCAGCTATACGAGCAATATCACAGAATGTATGGCTGGACCTAAAATGGCGAGCTGCTAGGTTGCATTGTAAATAAATGATAAAAAAAAGAGTTAGTCTTCACGGCCAATGGCATTTTCTACCATGGACTGCTGAGAGGATTGCTGGCTATACGAACCATGAAATGGAACCTGGCATTTCCAAGGTGATGTATTGGTTGAGGTACCCCCCCCCCGGTGGTCGACGTAGAGAATTCTGCGAAGCTACTGGCTAGGATCTGTACCTAGGCAGTCTCGGCCACGGGGGTATAAAATTTATGAACTTGGTGGTTCTGAAGGCTCTGGGAAAGGTCACTTATTGGCCGGCCTCGGAGTCTGGCACGTCCTAGCGCGGCGTGGTGCTAGTAACCCGTGGGGATTTCCCCCGGGGTCGCTGGGTAATGTCCCGCCGCGACGGGCTCACCCGAGCGACTGGCAGGAGCAATTGACGACCGGTGCTGCCTGGTGACGTATCCAGGTGGTGTGCGGCTCTGCTAGAGGGTAATAGTGGAGGTTGAACCTCCACGACGTGCCCGAAGGCAGAGTCGACCTGTAGTGAGCTAGTTCTCGGAACGGGGAAGCCCAAAACCTGTATTGGTTGAGGTAGTGTCACAGGCTTAGCCACCAAGCTCACCGGGTCTCTTGTGTTCGGACGTTTTCCTATAGGGTCATATGAAAAACCTAAGCTACGAATGCCCGATTGAAACCATTATGGATCTTGTTGCCATGATCACCGCTGTTGCTGGGAGAAATGCCTGATGTCTTTGCAAATGTGCGTCAATCTGAATTTCGCAAATGTGCGTAATCCCAATTCCGCAACTGTGAAGCATGGAATTACACATGACAGGATGTTTTTGGACCAACTTCTATGAGCATGTTCTGTTAATAAAACATTTTCTGAAGTATCTCCTTGTGTTCCAATCATACATCCTATGACGAATATTGCTCATATAGCCTTCTATCACACCCTAAAGTTTTGCCCACTTGTTCATATTCAGCCTTTATTTATACAAAAGCAAATTGTTGTTACAAACTGACATGGATTTGGGATGCAAATTGAAGGGTTTTTTCCCCCCAGTTTTCAAATTGGTTGTTTTTACAGGATTGCCACTCAAACAGGAGAATGAAATTCCCTGACTTTTCCAGGTTTTCCCAGGTGCATTAAGAAAATTCCAGTCTATCTGCATAATGCATGTTGGCTGTGCTAGGAGATACATTAATTATGGTATTACTTAAAAACAGAAAAATTTGCCAATTACATGCAACTTATATCCTCAATCCATTACTATTATAATTATAATAAGAGTTGTTTTCACCACTGAAGATTGAGATTAGAATCAGCTCAATCTGGAATAAAAGAAAGCCTTTTTTGCAGATATTTTGTAGTTAAAACGAAAGAAAGAAATCTATTTAACGATATTTTTTAAATAAATTCAGGTATTTTACATTTATTTCGCAGCATACATGAGCAAAAAATATGGGCATTAAAATTCGTGATGGTATGTCATCATACTATTTTAGCGAATATAGTTATATTACATGGTTAGACAAGATGACTGATTACTATTTTTTTTTTTATTTTATTGCAAAATGACAAATAAGGCCTTTATATAAAAAAGAAAAAAAAAAAAAAAAATTGCAGTAAAATCCTAGTATACGATAAGGCCTTGGCACGATTTTGATAACTGTCGCCAAAACCAAAATGAACCCTTTACTGCTCATCATCATGTCATCAAATTTCGTGTGTACCGTACATGGAGGTTATTCTAATCAAAGAACATCTATGTAAAGAAGAAAAGGTTTCGTAGATGTAATGCTATCATGCCACTACAAAGCGGAGGGAACATTTGCCAAGTGATTTGGCGATGGAATCTAGCGGCCAGAATTTTCCTCTCTGTGATGTGACAAAACGTTTCTTCTTAACACGGATTTTCATAGTTTTTTTTTTTTTTTTGGGTTCAAAATAACTAATTCATTAATTTATTTACTTGTATGAAAAAATATTTTCTTTTCCTTTAAAGAAATTTTATACGATATTCATTTTATGAACTCCTGATAATGTGACCTTTGAACTCCGACACCGGCTTTGAACTTTGGCAACAGATATTTCGCGCATGCGCAGCTGTTTCGCTCTACGTTGGAACGGAGCCTCGCCTGTTGCAGAAAGGTTTTCCTTCTTTACAATACATATTGTTTGATTCTAACTGCCATATTACCGTATACTAGGATTAAACCCATTTTGTTTTATATAAGTATTTTCTTTAGTTCAACATGCAGTGCACATGCGATTCTCGAGGTTACTGGAAACTTGTTTTGCCTTTATAAAAGACAATCTAATTGGAGATGCGAAAATTGGCTCTATACCAGCTGCTCGAATGATGCTCCCGTGATACTCAATTCGCCAAGAAAGTGATCACTTCCAACATCGGCACAAAACTCGCTTATTTGAGGGAGATGGGTCGCTGTATAAAATTCCCAGACTTTTCCCTGAATTTGTTGGTCAGTTTTCGAATTCTGACCTTTTCCGATTTTCCAGGTAGCATGGCAGCCCTGCTTTTATTCTGTTATGCAATATGCAGCTACCATTAAAATTATATAGGATGTCCACAAATGTTTACAAAACATAACTCGTGATTGTGCAAAACTAGTGAAACAAGCGCTGAACCTAAAATGCATAAACTCTTAAAGTTTATAATCATATCAAAAACATTTAATAAACTTCAACATGTGTATTCCTGGTAGCATGCAAAATATTCAACAAGTACTCAATTTCATGCCATACATTCAACAATTCTGGTCTGTGAATAGCCTGTGTGATGTGCGGTTACATCAGGAACTGCTGTGTGAAACATGATGTCTTTAGCATACCCCCTAAGAAAAAAATCAGATGTGGATACCACATGACTTCCTTGTATGACTATTAAATAATAAACATTTTTTCTACACTTCATTTAAAACCTACTTTATTTAAAGTTCCAAGTCAAAGTGCACTTTTGGCACAGCCAACTGCAATAAAAAACAGAGGTGCACAATTAGATGTTATAGTAGGCCTTTACACAAAATTTCAACATTCTACAACTAATCATTTTCGAGTTATGTAAGATATGCATTTATAGACATCATGACGAAGCCAGTCAGAAGTCCCAAATATAAAATTTCAACATTTTACAGTGACATATGTACATGTCATAATTTTGAAGCACAGTCGTGATGGTTGAATGGCACGATGAATGGAAGGAGTTGCTACCAAACTAGATTTAGTCAATTGTCATCTTTATTTGCAAATTTCCAAGCACACTAGAATGAATCCTTGCACACAATATACTCTTTAATCATAGGAATAACGATAATTTCTTATATACAATTTATACAGGTTAATGGGGTGACATCATTTTAGCAGAGCACAGAAGATATGTTAGCTAGGGAAAGGAATGCAGTAGAAGAATAACGTAATTAACTACCAATGGTATTTATACCAAGTTTGATGCACAAGTACAGCTAATCTATGATTGGTTAGTTTTAGTTGCCCCTTTTCAAGTAGCATTATATAATGTAGAAAAATCTTGAATTTGGGAGAACAGATGAATTTAGGGGAAGATTGCCAATTATTTTTTTTAAAGCAGCTATTGTATTTTGTTATATCTTACCCATCCTTCAAAACAAAGGTCGAGATGTGTGTTCTATTATTAGGTATGAAAACCTGATCTCAATGTCTACAGAAAAAAGTGAAATTGCAACAGTAAATGAAGATAAATTTCAGTGTGCCATATTTGGTGGCTTTAACCCTGAAATGGAGGAGCCAGCGTACAGAGTACGCCAATGCCATCTTTTGAGCTGTAATTTTTAGACAACCCCTTCCTGAGCTTCCTCCCTTCCTCTACCCTCCTAGAAACATTCCATGAGTGCAATGTATCTGGTATTTCTGGTCAGTCTGGTTTTCGCCTTCCTTCTGAAAGGTTATTATGAACATGTCACATAGGCAAACGCAGTACTCCACTCCTCCAAGTATGTACAGAAAGAATATTGTACCTCCTGATGAATATTTGCGCATTTTAGAAAAAGTCTCAGTTGATGCAGACTCTTGACAATTTGGATAACGCATCTGATGTCGATGAATCGGAAGTCATCAAACATTCTGATCATGAAAGTGACTCAGAAATCGAGGGAAATGTTTCTAATCACCCTCATTTTCCTTTCTCAAATGATGTTTCCCCAACAAATGGCGATTTTAGTGATGTTGAAACTGACATGAAGGATTTAAAATATGAGGGCTTTTTTTTTTGTAAAAACAATTTGCAAAAAGAAAGTTGAAGGAAAGTTTCTGAAAAAAGAAAAGGAATCTGATAAGTGAAATAAAGTTCCCCTCAAGAGCAAATTCGCCAGATCGCCTCCAAAAAAATTTGATGAAAATAATATTCCATTCTCAAGTGCCAAAACTTGTAACAATATAAATGATGAGTTTTCTAGCTTTCCAGAAAATCATAAATACAAATATGATTGATGCTGTCATACAATATACAAATATTTATCTCAAATGTAACAGGATTGCAGATGATCTCCAAAATATATCAAAGAGAAGCATGTATGGCACTAATACAGCAGAAATGTTGGCCTTTTTAGGAATTTTATTCTTATTAGGGTACAAAAAAATGTTAAAACTCAATTTGGAGGAAGCATGGGCAAAAGATAGTACTGGAATTAAAATTTTGCAAGGGGTCATGTTTCTCAAGTGATTCAGAAACCTGTGTGCTGCTTTAGATTCAACGATAAAGGCACAAGTTCTGTGCGAAGAAAAACTCATAAGCTTGCTGTACTAACAGAATTTTTTGAATCTTTCAATCAGAACTGTCAAAACAGATGACGAACTCACAATCGACGAGAAATTGGAACCCGTTCGCGGAAGATGCTCTTTTATTCAATTCATCCCCAACAAGCCCGCAAAGTATGGTCTGAAAATTTTTGCAGTTGACTCACAAACATTTTATACATTGAAGCTTGAAATTTATTGTAACAATCAACCCCTGGGACCTTACGAGGCTTCTAATTCAAGTATTGACATTGCCAAAAGGCTAATTGGGGCATACGAAGGTTCCAACCGTAACCTGATGACAGATAATTGATATACAAACTACCCGCTAGCTCAATATCTTCTTACCACTTGGGGCATGCTCGAAAAAATAATAAAAAAAAGGAAATTCCAAATGAATTTCAGCCATCAAAAACAAGAGAAGTCGACAGTTCAGTGTTTGGTTTTCAAAAGGATATGGCAATTGTTTCATATGCAATGAAAAAAAAAAAAAGTGTGTAATACTGATCAGTACTTTACACGATGATGACAAAATTGACCAGGAAACGAATAATCATGGATTATAACAAATGTAAAGGCAGAGTTGATACCGTAGACCAACTTTGTAGTTATTTCACTGTCGTCTGAAAAACCAAGAGGTGGACAATGTCAATATTTTTTGCACTGCTAAACGTAGTGGGCATAAATTCGCAAGTGCTCTTGAACTTCGCCAAACCTGATGCAACCATCAAGTTAAGAAGATATTTTTTGAAAAAAATCTAGCTACATCTTTAAAACCACATCTTCAGAATCGTCTGAAAATACCATTTCTCCTGTTGCTATTATTAGAAGGCTGGTAACAACAGAAGTGGACAAGACGGCCAAAAGGGACGAGGAACCACCTGCAAAAATGATCAAAGGATGCTGCGCTGAGTGCGGTAGAATAGAAAATAATTACACTACCATAAAATGTTCTGAGTATATCTGCAAAAATCATCTGGGCAAGACAGTACAACTTTGCAAACCCTGTTGCAGTGAACAGGGACAATCTGAAGAGGATTAAAATAGCAAAAGGTTTCTAACTTTTTCATTTGTGAAAATTTATTACTTACCGAACTTTTCTTTACGGAATATTTATCATTTGTAAATCTGATTTATGATCTTATAATTTTCATACAGAAAATAATACAGAATACTATATACCTTTAAATTACATTTCCAGTGCATTCCACTTTTTGAATTAATTAAAAATTCGTAATTTCCATCTTCACTGCTTTTTTTCTGTTATTCTTTTTCTTATATCATTTTTACTATGACGAATCAACTTATTAATGCCATGTATAAGATTAAATAGTTTCAAACACGAAGCAGAGGCTTGAGAAACGACCTGGCGTACTTCATACGCCGCCCCTCCAGCTGAGGGTTAACAACCACTGTCTGGTATACTAGTTTCGCACAAAATGTCCTCTAAACTAAGTTTGAATCTCAATAAGAAAATGCAGTGTATATACTCGATCAACACATTACGAGCTCTTGAAACCTAAAAAAAAAAAAGCTCAATTTGTAAACAAAGCAGTCTAAGAAAAGACGTCAGAGATGTTTAACAGGAAGCACATCATACTTCAGCATGATAATGCCAGACCACATGCTGCTTTGGTGACTCATCAGAAAATAGCACAGTTCCAAATCTCTTCACTTCCCAAATAGACAGAATTTTCCAGTATAAATTACATATTTAATAAAATGTAAATCATTAATTAGCATAAGTAGCTTAGATTTTACAAAAATTATCTTACCTCAAAGAAACCAGTGTAATAACCAGCCATATACCAAGCTGTCATTGCAGCAGACAAAGCAGAATTTCCAGATAGATCTGAACCTACGGGCATTGGCGGAATTTGTGGCACAGATGAGACAGCCTAAAAGATAAATATGAATTTCAAAACACATAGAAAAATATGGATCATATATTTAATATACAAATTATTGTGCAATGACAAAAAAGTACTTGGAATGAGACGTTTAAAGTATGCACATATAACACACTTATAATAAAGCTTTTACAGAAGTTATGACTTTCATAAATAATTTGCAACAAGTTAAATTTCATTTCTTCTTATTGCTTGGAAATAAATTCATTTTTAATGAATAAAGAATTTTTTTGTCAGTTTTTCAAAATCATGAATGCAAGAACAAATAATATGAATTTATATTAATTATAATTTTGCTTTCACATGGGAATTTCTGCTACAAAAATATCTAAAATACTGTTTACTCTTACACTAGATGGCCTTACTAGTAACACGATACAGCATATTGCAATCCAAAATAGCATTAGAAATATGATATAGGAGGGCAATCCCCCCCCAAAAAGGTCTCCTATTTTTGGGGAACGTAGAGAAACTTTTAATATGGTTGTTGGCAACACTGTTGTGAGTGGTGCCTTCTCCACTACCACATAAGCACGCAGGCGCTTCGCTCGGATGCTCAGTCTTGGCTTGGCAGCCATTCGAAATGGAGCTCCCGATAAACATTACCGCCAAGTGCAAGTGGAGCGCAGTTATTCGATTTTTGAAAGCAAAAGGCATTAAACCGGTTGAAATTCCCCGCCTATTGACGGAAGTGTATGGACAATCGTGCATGGATGTCAAAAACATTCGCAAGTGGTGTGGAGAGTTTACAGCCGGTCGTACTGAAATTCACGACGAAGAAAGGAGCGGGAGGCCGTCAATTGCCGATGAGACAATCACGAAAGTTGAAGAACTCATGGGTAAAGATCCGAGGATCACTCTGGATGATGAGGTGAAAGATGAGGTTCAGCGCTTCCTGAAGCTGGTATGACATGGGAACTGTAAAACTGCCACAGCGTCTACAAAAATGCATCGACCGAAATGGCGATTATGTTGAAAAATAAAGCATTCTTCAATCTTTAAAGTGATGTATCAATTATAGAAAATAAACGGTTCTTTGTATTTCTAAAAATATAGACCTTTTTTTTTTGGGATTGCCCTCGTAGTATTGTAGTTGACACAGATTTCAGAATATAGCTGATCTACAGCATACTGTTGGTTGGGCTAAATATTGATTAGATTATATTTAGTAGAAGTAATTTAATTTTATTAAAGTTATAAAAATTATGTTTTGGGCACCATTTAGATCAGCAGCTAGTTATCAGTAGTAAAGAGCATTTGAGGACAACCAAGCTACCAAAAAACAAAGAGTTTTTGAGTCATATAAGATGTTTAGGTAAAGCAAGGAATATCCCAAACATGCATAATGCCATGCTAGACCATCCACTTTGACTAATGAGCAACTACATACCCAATCTAAGATTTGATGTTTTAACTATTCTTGTTGAACAATCTGGGATACTACTTCAGCAGTTCGATATCAATGAACAAGTTTCTGTATCACTTGTATCCTGTCAAGATATTTTGAAAGATAATTTGGACTTACTTTCTCCCCTCTTTCTGCATGCCTTCATAGTGAAACGGTTGGCACACTCGGTGTGTATTCGCGAGGTCCAGGTTCGAGTCCAGGCAATGGCATTGCTCACTTTTCATGTACTCCTGCTTCAAAAATACCTAATGTCTCTATAGTGGCACCCAAACTAAAAAGGTGGTGGATTTGCATTAAATACTACTCTTTGAGGCCAGTTTTTGTTTGTCAAAAATGATTGATAAGAAAATATGTATGTATTGTAAATTGTGAGATCCAGGTTCCAGTCCCAGTGAGGGCATTGCTAATTTTTCATGTCTCTTACTTCAAAATATCCTAATGACTCTACAGTGGCACCCGAACTAAAAAAGTGGTGGATGATGATTCTTCATCACCAGGATCTGGCGATTGGATCCCTTAATCCCCACAGTCACCCTTTAAAAGAGGTATATAAGGTATTTTCTTCCTCCCTTCTGCATGCCTTTGTGGTGTAACTGTTAGCACACTCGACGCATATTCGAGAGGTCCAGGTTTGAGCCCGCTTGTTTTTCACACAGTTCTCAAGTCGTTCTAAAAAAATATTGATTTTTTTTTAAGATACTCCAAGAACATGTTTTCAAAAAGAGTCTTGCTTAAAATACATTATAGTAGATGATATGTGAAACTATGCTTCTGAAATAGAGCATTCAAAGGAATGGCACTTGAAAGATGAAGCAAGTCAAAAATCTCGACTATTTTCTTTGAATGTTGTGCTGCTGTCCATAATGAATTTCTACCAACGGGCCAAATTATTAATTATTTTTAGAGACCTTCAGCACTTGTGTAAAGCAATTCATAAAAAATTATTTGAATTATGGTTGATTATGACTGAATTTTAAATTACTCATGATCTTTACACTATGAAAATGCACCTTCTCAGAACACTCATACTTCACGAGTTTTCGTGAAAGATTCAACGAATATGGCTCAAAGAGCTCCATAGACACATTATATGACTGATGAGTTTTCTTATTTCTGTGTCCATTATTTGAGTCGACTGATGTAATAAAAGAAAATTCTATGTGTGTCCTGAAGGAATTTCAATAAAAGAACTTGCAAACATTTTTTCTGAACAAAAAAACAGTTGGCAGAAGTATATTTGAGACTAAGTGGATTGTTCTAAAGGGAATGCATGTTATATATTGACCAATAAATTAAAATCTTGCATAATATGAACTTCTCCAATATCTTTTGAATGCAACATCTCTAATACTAATAAATCACACAAAAACAGCTTGTAATCTGAAAACTTTACCCATAGACATTACAATCATATAACACATTGTATTACATCACATTGCAATCTCCCATAGACTTTACCATCATTTAACAAAACAAATGTTTTTAAACACATTTTACAAATAAAGATAATACCCAGTGCTGTCAACTCACAAAAGTGAATCTTTATGGTTGAATAAAATTAACCCCCCCCCAAAATTTCAAATCTCTAGTATTTCTGTAATTTTTCAGCACAAAACAATACATGCATGAAAATGTGGAAACATTTAAACTTTTAAAAGTGAAATTCTTAACATGCTACAAAATTTCACCACAGCCACTTAAAGTTTTATTTTGGAAATGGACAGCATTATACATAAGAAATAGTCAGAAATTTTGCAATTTATATATTTTCAGGTATCAGAAATATACTTATTGTGCTTATAACAGAAAACAAAGCTTTATGAAAATGTCATTAAGTCAAGATAAAATAATTTTCCAAATGATTCACTTATTTATGCTGATGAGCAATGATCTTTTACAATATCAAAAATTAAAAAACCCTGTTGATTGGAAACAATATGGCTCTCATAAATGTAATCTTAATTTGTACCCTAATTTTACAGCTAGCTGAAAATAATACCTCTTTGAGATGTTTTGGAAAAAAAAAAAAAAAAAAAAGACTAACCATTGGCATCGGTGGAATCGGTGGCACAGCAGGAGTAGCCTAAAAAGAAAACACAGATTTATAAAAGTATATAAATTACATTTAAAGAGCTTTCCTAATATCTGTAATTAAAATATGTACAAAACTTTACCTAAATATTTTGCTATTCTTTCTTCAAGTCTCCAAGTTTTATCAATTTAAATTTGTTAATTTATTTATATTTTTATCTTTTTTATAATTTAAATAATATACAAAAAAGAACCACACATACATTTTAAAAGCTTTAGTTTGATTTTGATGACTGTGCATTTTATATAAGACAAAAGGTATTGCATATTATATAGTCTTAACATATTTATTTAACCTAATCTCGGGCACAGCACTGGTGTTCGAAAATGTCACGCCCGAGTATTTTTCGGGGTAATTTTTTTTTTTTTTTTTTTTTGAGTGCATCGTATTGTCATACCCGAATATATATCGGGAGATGTTTATTTTGGCTACATTTGGTTTTTCCAATAAAAAAATTTGATAATTTGTGTACCCAAATCATCAAAATAACTTGACAGTTAAAGGGTTAATATGGGATATACAATACTAAAACCATAATATAACTTTTAAGAATAATAAAAACTACTTTTGAAAAACTGATTAAGCAAATTTTATGATATTACGCCAACAACATGGAATTTTTATTTTACAATATGCAGCATAACTGTATCATTCATTTATATAGTTGATTAGTATTTTCATTAACTTTCCATTATGAACTACTCATTTTTAATGAACTCTTGCTCCAGTCCCAAAAGTTATGATCTCTCTAATGTCATTCCTAATTATGAACATTCAGTTTTATGAATTGAAAGTTTGTAACTAGGAAGTAGAAAGTTAATTGCTTTGCTGATTAACAATTGCAAATTAAAATTCTATTTGCATAGTGATGAACCTGAATAAAGGTGAATGCATCTTTATACTACTTGAAAACCTACACCTATAGCGATGATCCAGCATAAAGTGTCTTCTTTTTAGGAAGGTTACTTTTAACAAGTTAAGAACTGACCTTGAAAAAGATGCATGCACTTTATGCTAATTAAAACCTTACTTGCATAATGATGGCCTGGCAGCATAAAGTGGCGACACATTTTGAAAATTTTGGTTTTTGCAAGTTCAAAACTGATCTTCATAAAGGTGGGCCACCTCTTTGCCAACTAGGTAGTTTCCAATATAATTAAAAAATACATATTTTCCTTAACATCACATTGCTCAGGAATGTACTATGTGATTTTAAAGATAAATAAAACTATTATTAATAAATCTTCTAAGTACATCCACTTTACAATATTTCCCAGATGAAGACCTGAAAACAGACTAAGTCCAAGATCCAGACTCATTCAGAGCAATTTCGGATTTGGGATTTTTCCCGATATTAGATCATCAGTTTAAACCTAGTATGAAGACATGTAGAAAATTTTAATTAAAAAAAACATGGAAAAGTGGTTTATGAGAATAAAGAAGCATTTATGACTTTAAGGGAATCAGAATTTATTTAAAAAAGCAACTAAGTAATTATCAATATCTTCATTACATATTTCTTTGAATAACTATTGTTGATTATCACAAGATTGGGGATTAAAGCTACGTTGTTCCACTGAATTCCGTCTTGCATCTGTCACAGGCTGACGAAGTTAAGCAGTAATTATATTTGTTTAATTATTTATTATAATTATACCTATTTTCCACACATGCAGCTTATCCGAGTTCCAAAATAGTAAATTCCCATATATACTTAAGGCTTATCCAGGGTCGATGCATTTGCAGTCTTTTTTTAAAACACTACTTGCATAATGATGGCCTGGCAGCATAAAGTGCCGACAGTAGAGACATGTTTGCAGTCTGTAAATAGACATTTTGAAGTCTGGTGCAGTTTCTGCGAGTCCAAAATTCTACTGCCAAATGTCTCCCAAATTCTAAAAACTTTATATCGAGTGGCTTTCCTAAATTTTGAAGATTTTATCATCCTTAATTTTATCCAAATTTTGGGAGCAGTCCTGAGCTTATTTGAATGACAAATCAGTTATTCCCAATTCAAATACTAAGTATAATCTTTTGAATTCTATTTTTTACATATGGAAAGAAAGTTAAATTTCTCCTCATTAACAAATTCAACATTTAGCAGCACAGTCAGCTGAAACCTGTAAATCATAGCCAAGCAGAATGTGATCATAAGAGTATTGAATTACTCTAAAAAATATTTTCTAGACATTACTGAGTGATTTCTTAAGTTGCCATGGGCTGATAATCATGCAAAGACACAAGCAAAGACTAGTCTATATTTTAAGGTACCCCTTGCATTATTGCCAAGTTGTTGTTTCATTTATGGTAACCATTTTACATTGAATGTTATGGAAACCCTATTATGGCACGATAGGTTGTAATATGTGATTGCAGTGATTTTGACTGCTAGGAAAATATTTCTCAGGGCTTATTTATGCGTTGGATGTTGGTTAAGAAGTATGCTGCTTATTCTGTGCTTTACACCGTAATATGCCTGCTGGTAGTACGATTAACCTGGAGTTTTTGCATGCTTTGGAAGGAATGGGAAAGAAAACATTGATTGACAGGTGTGTAAATGAAGATTTAAATGGCTTCATTCACCTCTCAGTAAATTACGCAGTGAGATATAAGGATTTGGAACCAGAGCTCATATCAACACTATGGAAGGTGTGGCGTGTAATAAAAAGGGGTTTTCGAAACAAATGTCAACACCAGCCCAGTAGTACGGAGGATACTTCTGATTTTTACTTTTTATGTGGTGACAGCAGTATACAGATTTAGTTCAGATAATTTTACACAGTTTTTGGATGCTGTTAAGGAATTCTGCGTGCGAAACACCAATGACACGAAAATTTGTAAATAAGGTTCGTCGATATTTCCTTTTTGTACTGAGCAGATTAGATAACATGTATTTCCATTTTTATGTTAGTTCCTCATTTTATTTTGATTTAAAGTAGGATGCTATTTTACTTGGGAGGGTGTAACACGTAAACAAGAATGGTGCCAAAAAAATTGCCAATTTTTAGTAAGGGGTAAACTGAAATATATCTTTCCCACAAAAATAATAAGTAATAATCCGCCAAGTTGACTTTAGGGATATACAATATTTAGTAGGTTTAAAATCAACAATGTTTCAATTTAGGATGTTCCGGTTCAAGATGTATGCCAAACAAAATGGCAACTACACAGCCAAATTATTGATCATATAAATTTATGCTAATAAATGATTTTTCTTCAGTATGGAGGTATTTTATTTAGTACTGAAGTGAAATTAAGAATTAGGACTCTCCACGTTTTATAATAAAAAAATATCAAACATACATGGGTAAAGCACAAAAAAATTTTTTAAACAGTTTGCTGTAGTCCGTATTTTAGATCATTCCAAATACTGAACGTGCAGTATGGACTTCGTACTTAGTACTTATAGGAATTAATCTTCCTATACTTTCATTTTTTTCATAACAACCATAAAACTTTCCCAAATACATATACAGAAACTGGGAGACTGCACAAGGGTTGCCACTCAAACAGGAGAATGAAATTCCCCGACTTTTCCAGGTGTGTTTTAAGGAAATTCCAGTCTACCTGCGTAATGCACGTTGGCTGTGCTAAGAGGTAAATTAATCACAGTATTACTTGACAACACAAAAATTTGCCAATTACATATGACTTATATATGTCTATCTGATCTCTAAAGCATTACTATTATAATTATAATAAGAGTTGTTTTCTCCACTTAAGATTGTGATTAGAATCTGGATTAAATCTAATCCTAATCTGGAATAAAAAAAATGTCTTTTTTTGCGAACATTTTGCAGCTAAACGAAAGAAAGAAATCTAGTTAATGATATTTTTAAATAAATTCAGGTATTTTATATTTATTTTAGCAGCATACATAAGCAAAAAATATGTGCATTAAATTTCGTGATGGTATGTCATCATACTAATAGAATTAATTTCAGGATTATGCCAGAGAAAATTTCCTCAAATTTGGAAGTATTATTTACTAATAATAAATAAATTTAGAAGGGAAGAAGCAACATTAAATGATATGAATAACATAAAAGATAAAAGATAACTTAAAACATTTAAGTAGAATAATTCAACTGATATTTTAACGAACATATTTATATTAAATGGTAAGGCTAGATGACTGATTACTATTTTTTTATTTTACTGCAAAATGACAAATAAGGCATTTATTAAAAAAAAAAAAAGGTTTAAAAGATTTTTGCGTTAAAATCCTATGGTAAGGCCTTGGCACGATTTTGAAAATTGTCGCAAACACCAAAATTTACTGCTTGTTATAATGTCGCCAAATTCCATGTGTACCATACCTTAAAAAGAAAGAAAAAAAAAAAAAGGTTTAAAAGATTTTGCCGTAAAATCTTAGTATACGTTGCCGCCTTGGCAAGATTTAAAAAATTGTCGCCAACACTAAAATTAGTCGTTTACTACTCATTATAATGTCGCCAAATCTCGTGTGTGCCGTACATGGAGGTTATTCTAATCAAAGAATGTCTATGTAAAGAAGGAAAGGTTCTACAGATGTAATATTTTACGCCGCTAGAAAGCGAAGGAAAATTCGTTAAGTGATTTGGCATTGGAACCTGGCGGCCAGAATTTCCATCTCCGCAATGTGTACAGGAAATTGAGGAACACGTGGTAAGAAGACAGAACGTTCCTTCTTTGAATTTTCGCAATAATTTAAGCACGGGGTTTCATAGTTTTCCCCCCTCAAAATAACTAATCCATTAATTAATTTTGAGCGAAAAAATATTTTCTTTCCTCTTAAAATGTAAATAAATTTTAAACAATATTCATTTTATAAACTCTTGATAACGTGACCTTTTAACTTTGACATCGGCTTTGAGATTTGGCGACACATATTTTGCGCTTACGCAGCTGTTTCCCCTTACGTTGGAACAGAGCCACTCCTGTTGCAGAGTTTTCCTTCTTAAATACATATTCTTTGATTCTAACCTCCATGGTACCGTATACTAGAATTA